CCCGAGTGCTGCATGACGGGGTGAGTGCCTGTCTCTGGCCCCAGCTCCTGCCAACCTAGCAGTTTGAAAGCTTCAGTGGGAAGGTAACAGCGTTCCGTGTGCCTCGGCATCTAGTCATGCCGGCCACATGACCATGGAAATGACTTCGGACAGCGCTGGCTCTTCGGCTTGGAAACGGAGATGAGCACTGCTCCCTAGAGTCGGATGCGACTGGCTTTCGAGCAAGGGAAACCTTTAGAGTACTAGGTAATTCATTGTTTCTGGGTCACCCTGCCACAAGGAGGTGGAGGAATGTCAGGACTGGCTCTTTATTTGGGGGGAAGACATGCTTTGAACAAGAAGTAGATGGGCACCAGGGAATCCACTGGCCATGGTGCCCACAGGTACCATTCTGGGGGTCACTTACACTAAGCAAGACAAATCAGGTAAGAGGGTGTTTTCAGGGATCTGCTTCTTCTGGTGGTATAGGCAGTTTGGTCACACAAAATAATACAGCAGACCTATGCCTCAATTACATATGTACATAGAGAACAAGATGACTATTTTCAACTACCTTGCTAAATTGAACCAGAAGTCCATTTAATCCCAACATCAGACACCCCTGAACAGCTCACTAATAGGGTATGAAAGTGACAGCCCCCTCTCTCATTTGCTTCCAGTGTCTGGTACTTGTAAGCAGGGGTCATTTCCTGCAGGAGCGCACAGGAGCGGAACTCCGGCAGTAAAGAGCCCAGGGGGCGGGCACATGCAACAAGGCCACACCCCCTGCTCCCAGCAGCCCTCAGTCACAGCAAGAAGCAGCCAGGTAAGTTGCAGAACCCCCCCCACCCACCCAAAACAGTCCAGTGGCACCTTTAAGACCAAGTTTTATTCAGGCACAAGCTCTCCCTCCTCTGCGAGGACAGATCTGCATGTCCCCCCCCAACCAATAGCTAGGAATCCAAAACAGTCCAGTGGAGCCTGAGCAGTGGGTGTTGCCTTCTGACACACTTCTGGTGATGTCAGGGGGTGTGGCATATGCAAATAAGTTATGCTAATGAGTTATGCTAATGAGCTCCTGTGCCTCTTTTTCTATGAAATGACCCCTGCTTATAAGGTACATTTCATTTTTATGGCTAAAAATCACTGATAGAAATATCCTCCAGGAATTTATCTCATCTTTTAAAAAAGTCATCTAAGGTAGTAGACATGTGGTGACAATAAATTTCACAACTCAGTGATGTGCTGTCTGAAATACTTCCTTTTGTCCACCCTGAATCTACCATCTTATCACTTTCCTTGACCTGAGTTCCATTATTTCCAGAGAAATAATTTTCTATTGCTTTCTTACACCATGCACCTGTTTGTAAATTCATAAGCATGTCCTCACCTTATTATTCTTTTTTCTTCACTAAGGAAAAAGCCCCAAACACTTTAGCTCTTGTTCACAAGCAAGATGTTCCAAGCCTTTATTTGGGTTGCCCTTTTCTATAGTTCCTCCCCCACAATACTATGATACTCTTTTTGAGATGGGGGTGACCAGAATAGTGTGCTGTATTCCAAATTCAGCTGCACCATTAATTTATATAAAGGCATGAGCACAGTGGTGGTTTTATTTTTTTAATGTCTTTCCTAATAATTTCTAATACATAATTTGTCATTTTAAGTGGCCCCATAAATTAAGTATATTTTAAGGTTTTTACCCCCAGTTATGACGATCCCAAGATCTTCCTGGGGCAATGAAAGCCAATTTAGACCTGAGCAATGGATAACCAGATATGTACAAAACTTCTAAAAGACAACTGACCAACATTGTGTGTGTGTGTGTGTGTGTGCATGTTAGATTCATCCATGCAAATACTTTCTCATTTTTGTGAAGACCTATAGTTTTAAGCAATCAGAACGAAGCATACTCCCACTTTTCAATGAAGCTGGACCAATCAAAGAAACGGTCTTACCTGTTTACATTTCTTATTACTCATTGTCTGAGTTAAGTGCTGTCAAGTTGCTTTCAACTTATGGCGACCCTGTGAATTAACGTCCTCCAGAACATCCGGTCATTAGCAGCCTTCCTCAGGTCTTGTAAACGGAAGGCTGCAGATTCCCTTGATTGAGTCCATCCATCTCCTGTTGGGTCTTCCTCTTTTCCAGCTGCCTTCAACTTTCCCAAGCATTGGCCCCGGTCACATGGCAAAGGTGCCACGGGAGAGGCATGGATGGTGGGCGGATTATCCGGGCGCGATCACACCCCAACATCTGGGGAGTGGAGCGCACCCGTGGCTTACCGCCGACAATGTGCATTAAAAAACTAGTACCTCCAAGGTACTAGAAAACATTTCCCATGGGCTGCCTCCAGACCCCCGTGGTGTGATTGCGCCGGCGCACGGCATTCCCCTCCGGTCCCTCGTTTACCCGCCAGCGCCGAGGGAAGGACCGGTGGTGTGCCGCCGGCGCATCTGATTGCATAATCGCGGATCAAACTGCGCCGGGGCAATTAGCCATCTCCCCCCCCCCACGATATCCGGCCCGTGTGACCAGGGCCATTATTGTCTTTTCCGGTGATTACTCATTACCAACAACTATATAAGCAACACAAAATAACAGAGACTGTTCTTGTGGGTTTGATTTTTTTTTTCTTTAAAGATTATTTTACAGTTTGAATCACAGGAGAAGGCACTTTGATTTGTGATTTCTCACTCTCTTCCATTGTTAAAAGATCAGCTTGTGGTCAAAAGATGCCTACAGGAGAGCATGAACAGATGGGGTGGGGAACAGCTCCTTCTCCAAACACAACAGGTTGGGGAGACCAGGCAGTAGAAGCAAATTGTCCAGCAACAGGAGAAACATTTTGTGTGTGAGAGAGAATGAAGTGGCACCTTACTCAGCCAGCCCAGAAAACACAAGGAGTGTCTACAGTGAGTCTCAGCTACACGGACATGTTTTGTAGAAAACTTGTGGCTCTTTGTAGCTTTTAGTTGGCACTGAGAGGAGATATGATTATCCTTTCCCAAATAAAGTGCTGCATTTTCCAATACTGTGTTAAGACAGGGAATTTCAACTTGCTATTCCTGGTTGCTAGCATTGATTCACTACCCCTGACCCCAAAAGAAGGAATTTAAAATGTCAATTAGATGGAGAAAAGAAAGGAGGGAAAATTCACTCCAAGGAAAGCCGTTCTTAGGGGGACATGCTTGCTACCACTCAGTGGCCCCGGTCACACGGCAAAGTTGTCGCGGGAGAGGCACGGACGGTGGGCTGATTATCCGGGCGCGATCACACCCCAACATCTGGGAAGTGGAGTGCACCCATGGCTTACCGCCGACAATGCGAGTTAAAAAACTAGTACCTCCAAGGTACTAGTAAACGTTTGCCACGGGCTGCCTCCAGACCCCCACACCCGTGGTGTGATCGCGCCAGCGTGCAGCATTCCCCTCCGGTCCCTCGTTTACCCGTCGGCGCCGAGGGAAGGACCGGTGGTGTGCCGCTGGCGAGTCTGATTGCGTAATCGCGGATCAAACTGCACCGGGGCAATTAGCCACGCCTCCCCCCCACGATATCCGGCCCATGTGACCGGGGCCAGTCTTTACCTTCTGGGGTAGACAGCTAGCATCCTACGAGAATGTGGACGGGGGAGAAAAGGAAGTGGCCAGGAAGAGAGGTAAGGATTTCTACTGGAGGGAAAGTTATGAAAGAATCTGTTCACTTCCAGTGATGAGCTTTGGGCAGCCCATTTCTGATCTTGGTGGGAGGAAAAAATTAAATGTGGAACAAGGGCTTGAAAGAGTCTGCCAACTGTTAACACTGAGGCTACTGAATACTATAAGATGTATATGTGTTGGGGTATGGTGCAGTGCATTGTGAGGGGAGCGACAGGTATTTGGAGAAGATGAGCATGCTCTCAGATATAGGTGTCATCTGATGGACAAAATCACTCCCACCCCATTTCCTTTTACAACAGGAAAATTGACAACCAACCACACAAAAATAATTACCATCTCCGAAGAACATTGTTAAAAATACAGCTATAAAAATCCTCTGATGTTTTTTACCCAATTTTTCTTATGTCCCCTAAAATATATACACATTATACATATTTATATAATCTAAAATGTGCCCTGCTAGAATTCTTCTTCCCACATCCTTTAAAAAAAAGGCTCCTTGAATGGGGGGAGGGTCCCCCACAGAGGGTTTATCAATTCCGGATGAACTTTAGATCTGGAGCAGTTTGTCTGCTGGGACTGGTGGGTTATTAGTGGTCCACTGGCACAGAGAAAAGGGTATCCATATTGCCAGAATGGAGCAAATTGCTAAAGGTTCTAGCCAGAAGATTGACAGTTTTTCTTATGTCCCCTAAAATTGGGGGTGGGTGGGTTGTGAAGTACATCGTATTCCACCTAGTGTTTTGGCATATCTTCACTGATTTTTGTGTCATTTTAAAAATATATATATATGGCAATTGATTAGGGTGGAAAAAGAGAGACTTAGTTACATGACATGCATTTGCAGTAGAAGATATGGTGATAAGAGATCCCAACCCCATACAGTAGAAGGAAAAAAGCTTTGAGCTTTTCTTTCAATAGCATCTTCTCTCTCTGTTACAGTTCATGTATTCCTGTAATCAAAGGTCATTTCGGGGGGGATCGCAGTTCCCCCGGGTGAGGTATGGGGGGCGGGGCACATGACAAAGCCCTGCCCCCTGCTTCCGGCCGCCCTGCTTCCGGCCCTCATTCAGCCAGGAGGAGGCAGGAGAAGAGGGAGGGTAAGTTGCTTCCTCCCTGCCTCTCCCCACCCCTGCCTGCCTGGGGCCAGGGAGGGCCTTTGCAGGGCTTCCTTGCACTCCAGCCGGCCTTGCAGGTCCACTGCTGGGCCCCTCATGGGGCTCGGCAGTGGACCTGCAAGGCCGGTGGCGGCGGCTGGGACCATTGGGGGCGGGGTGTGTGGCCTTATGACTAACTTCCGGTGATGTCAGGGGGTGTGGCATATGCTAATGAGTTATGCTAATGAGTTCCCCTAGCTCTTTTTCTATGAAATGACCCCTGCCTGTAATTTGGCCCAAGGGAGGGGGGCTGGAAGAGAGAGATCTGTTAGGGGCAATGTGGAAAAAAGATTATCCCATTGTACAATGGTTTTCTTAAAAAACAAAACAAAAACCAATAATGTTGTTAAAGTAAAAACAATTAAAGGGACTTCTCTCCCCACCCTACCACATTAATGACTTGCAGTCATCAACTTGACTGCGCTTAAAAGCAAACACATACATTCCTAAAGGATACATCCGGCACACATTCCTAAAGGATAAATCTAGCAGTAGCTATCGAACAATGTCATCACATTTGAATGGTTGCTGAAACTTCCTGTATCCCCCCCACCCTGAGGACTGGGACAGGCTCACCTTGGAAGGGATTATTCAATGCACTCGTCATTTTAGTAAGATGGTCTAAGTTTAATATGATAAAGTGGCAACCTGCAAATGCCGGCTCAAAGGCTCCCTGGCAGTGAGGCTCACTGTGACCACCCTTTGCTCCAGGTCAACAGACCACTAAAGGAGCCATTCTCCACAGCCAAGACCTGCTCCGTCACTAAAGATTCCACCCTGATATGGGGCTAAGGGTCTCAAGATTTGCTGCATCGTGTCATTTCTTTAAGAAACAGCAAAGAACAATCATAAAAAGGCACACAGAATTCTTGAATCCAAAAAGAACATGTTAAGGCAAATCCAAGGTGGCACTGGAGAGAAACTGAAGAACATCCGTCCCTCTTTGGGGCAGCTGGCAGAGAGGCCAAGGCAGACAGCTCAAGGTTCTTCCTTCTTAAATGGGCTTTCAAAGCCCCTGGATGAGCCGGGAAGAAACACGGTTAAACAGATGGCAGGGAGGGCTGGCTTGACTTAGCTCAACCAGTCTTTGGGAACCTGGAGCAATTGGACTTATTCACAAAGCAGTAGAAACAGAGGTCTTGTCTACTGGCACCACCCCCACAGTTTGTGCATTTCATTTCTCTCAGCAATACCTCCAGATCCATCATGTCTAAAAGGCACAATTTCCCCACATGCCCTGCAAGCCCAGGAAGGTTCCGGAAACCCAGCAGGCAACTGTTGCTGCATCTCAGGGCCTGGAACGAAGCCAGCTGGGAGACAGTGGGGATTAAAGGCACTAACAGCATAAAAGACAAAGCCACTGTGGCCGAAGAAAACACTGCCATCTCTCCCTCCCCAGCATACGCCCACAGGATGTCTGGTCACAGCTACTAGGAGGGCGGAGATAAAGGGAACTTGAGAATGCGCCCGGAAGAAGCCAGGGATTAGAAAAGAAAACTCAGGGCTGGCAAGGAATATGGAAATGCTATGAGAAGGATACCTAGACTGTGCCATACCTGACTACTAGAAGGCAGAGTCACCAACCACACTAATAATCTTGAACGAAATCAGAAACCGATTGCATTGCTCTAGATAACAAACTTCCGGTATGGTATCTATCAGCCAACAGTGCTCATCTTCCCGATAGCCCTCTTTAAGCCTAACATGAACTACCCCGGCAGTCACCCATGTATCTCAATGCCTCAAAAGCCACTTCTCTCAGAGGCAACCAATCACAGAACTAGCTTGGGGCCCCTCAAAATGCAGGGGTCCAGCCAGGCTCGGATTGGGCTGTGGGTCCGACTTGGGCCTGTTCAATCCATCTGACTGCTCATTCCCTCACCTCTAAGGCACTTACAAGTGTCAGTGCGCAAACTGACAGACCTAGCTTTACATTGCATCTCAGCTGGGGAAAACGTCTCTTCCTACCTGGTAGTGAAACATCTCCTGACCTACTTTTTTGTCTCTTCTTCAGAAAGAAAATGAAGAGAAGCCTGAGTCCCCACCCTCTCTCAAAGGGAATGGGGGGGGGGAAATGACATTTTTTCCTCTAAAGGGAAACTTTCAGTGAGAAGCAGCTCATTCAGACTGTGCAGTGTCCCACAAAATGGCGGAACGTCGCTTTTAGCAAGACAACATTGGGTTGTATTCTACACTCAGTTAAGGGACATGCATATCCTTTGGGGGAAAGTCCATCCTGCTGGTGGAACCGTATCTTGTGTTAGCAGGACGTGGCTTACTCCAAACAAAACATGCCGTCCTTACCTGAGCAGAGCGATAGGAGACAGCCCAATATATCCTGTGTTGCACAGCACGAATACATGCTCTTGCTTAAGAAAGATGCAGTTCTCAGACATCAGCCCCGAACTCTCAGCTGGGACTTCTCATGACAGAGAAACTCCACTCCCTTTAGAGACGCAGCCAAATTTCTCCACACGTTCTACCTTCTTTATGTATTTGCCCAAATCTTTTCAGCCCCCCCCCCCGGTCAGCTCTGCCTTCTCTCCTGGGTTCCCCTTTCCCTCTTCAATACCTTTCACCTGGGGCTTCCTCGGCTCCTAGCACTGCCAATGTCCACCACCAGAAATATAGCCGTGGTGCCAATAACTCCCCCCACAGGGGAGGAGAATATCGGGCATCAGTGGGATCCAGGGAATTCCTGGGACCAGTCCTTGTGTGACCCTTCTCCACCTGGTGACAGGGGAGTGGGCCAGAATTCGCGCTCTCCCCTTGGCTAGAGGGGGATGGGGCCACAATCTTGGTCCCATGGTGTGAGAAAAAGATGGGCCGAGGGCCTGGTCCCCACAGCCGTAATACAAGGGGAACAAACCATTACTTAAACACAACGGCAAGGATATTTCCTCTCTGGGGTTCAGGGTTCGAGGTGACCTTCAGACATTGGCGTCTGTCCTGGTGCCCCCATGGGAACCAGTGGCTCTCTGCTGCCCCCTGCTGGGTTTCCTGTGCACTGCTATGCCTGGGGCTAGGCTGGGAGAGCAGACGGACCCTGCTCAGCAGCAGGAAGCAGCTAGGTGGGCTTCTACCCCTCCTTCCCCTGCCCAAAGCCCCCTGCAGTCACTAGCTACTAGTCCGGTGCTGTTTTAGCACTGTATACACGTCATCCACTTTGCTGAGTCTCTCAAAAAATGGCAACAGGTCGAGAAGCTCCGTGTCAGCCATGTTGTCGAACCATGAAGCCACAGGGACCTGCCAAGGAGGAAGACAGGGAAAGGTTAGGTTTCTCTGCTGGCTCAGTACAACCCCCCCCCCAATACACTTATAGGTACCACCACAGATGTTATCTCTATGGACTGCTGACAAGAGGTAGCCGGGAAAGGGAATCTTTGTCTATTCAAGTAATTCTGCTTGCAAGATTAGGCTTATGACTAGCATCTAGGGTTGCCAAATGGCACTCACCTCCTTGGCGGGGGACTCCTGGGCAGCTCCCAGTGCGCGCACCGCATCTACGTCACCCGGATGTGACGTCATGATGCAGGGCACGCTGTTTTCCCCTCAAATGGCTGTGGCCCCGCCCCCAGCGTGCGACATCACATCCGGGTGACGTGCACGTGGGGGTGGGTTTTCCCCCGGGGCCCGATTCCGCAGGGGCGGAAATCGGGCCTCCAAAGCGGGGGGAAATCCGCCCCCCGGGGGGATTTGGCAGCCCTACTAGCATCCGTCTACAGAGGGGTGGATGCCTTTCCCCACGGTTGCATCTCAGCACCAGATGAAAGGTCCCTCTATAAAAACAGCTCCATTCCAGAGACAGCTGCATCTCACAGCCAAATGACACCATGACAGTTTCAAAATTGGATCTTCCTCAGGAAATATTAGAGTAGTACAAAAGCTTTCATGTTCATAAAGTGCTTTACAAAAAATCAGGAAAGATAAGACGTTTAGATAGGATGCTGATCTCAATAGGTTGCTGATCTCAATAAGTATTCAGGCTCAAATATGCTGCTAAACTTTTGATGGATCCCAGGCGTCTCACCCTTATATAATCCGGAGATGACGTTGATGTATTTTTACACAAGGATTTTCTTATGATTTGAAGGAAATTATTCACTGTGTTGTCGTGCTTGTTGACAAGAATATACAGAAAGCATTTCCTCTGCAAGTCTTGTTGACTGCCTGATTTGTGGGTCAGACTCTCACGACTGTTTTCTTAACATTTGTTCTTTGATCAGGTCGTGACTGTCCACATTTGTCTCACACAGTGGCCAACCAGTTCCTCCAGAGGTCCAACAACAGAGCATAGAGGCTTTGCCCTGGTGCTGACTCTTGGCACTGGGATTCAGAGGTTTGCTGCCTCTGAACATGGAGGTTCCCTTTAGTCACCATGGGTAGTAGCCACTGATAGACCTACCCTTCATGAATCTGTCTAATCTCCTTTAAAAGCTGTTTATTCCTGTGGCCAACACTACATTCTCTGGCGGCAAATTCCACATTTTGATCACTCTCTGTGTAAAGAAGTGTTTCCTTTTGTCTGTCCTGAACCTACTGCTCGTTGGCTTCATTGGCTGCCCTATAAGAACAGAAGAGTAGATCGATATTTATACACCCTAAACTGCTTGCTGTCACCACACCTAGTGCTAACAAAGTATTTGTAACATGGTGCAACCTTAATGTCTAAGAACAGAAGTCATACGTCAGGAAATCCTTCTGTCATGAAGTTGCAAGTAGCCCTAGTCAAGCCACAGGACTGCCAGGCTAACAGGCCCCCCACCCCTGTGCAATATGGGGTTAATAATGCTCGCCTATCTTCCAGGGCTGTTGCATGCAAGATAATACATGCCAAATGCTGAATTTTCTAAAAGCATTAAATGCTCATTAACAATTATTGCACTGCACAGAATTCGAAGCTGAACCCAGCACCTGGCCTCCTAAGTAGTTCTACTTTTGGTGTGTTTTATTGTTTTGTAAAAGCAAACTTCAAGAGGCTCTCTGAGATTCCAGTGGCATGAGTTCTGCATCACTCTTGCTCATCTTCATTGGCTAGCAGAAGCAGTTACACAAAGCTAACCGCAGCATGCAAACACAGTAATCAGGTGGCAAACTTTAGCTTTTCTGAGTGAAAAATGTTGATTCCTTTTGCCTTGTGTAATCCTTGAAAGCAAATTCAGTCAGGACAGGGTCTATCATCAGCAACCGGAGAAGACTGACTCTTGTTGTTGCCCAGGAGCAGATGCTGGACCAACCTGGGGATACGGTCACCTTCTCGATACTCTGCTGAAGAGCTTCCAGAAGCATTGGTCTGGCTGCTGTTGAAAGTAGAAGGCTGGACTCGATGGAGCTGGGCTGCTCCCTGGTTCTTATGATCTGAGCATTGTGCTATTAGGGATGCTCTGGTATGTGTGAACACACAGCATGTCCCCACATTACGGAGCCATTCTGACTTTAGAGACAGGCACATCTGAGCCTCACTGAAGGATTTCCAGAGTCTAAAGGGTCTTCAAAGCTGGGCAAGAATTGCTGCACAAAATGCCACACCTACCCAAGGTGCAGCTGCATCACAGGACATCTTTTCAAGGTACAAGGAATACCCCATCCTGCTTGGGCTCCCTGTCTGCCATGTCCCTCTTGTCCTGCTTTGCAGCCCACTGTTTTTTGCAGCCCTCCTTCAACAGGACTGGAGCCCAGCCTGACAGCAGCAAACTCAAATCACCGCCCCTGCCCCAAGGCCCGAAACCTGCTGGCCAAAACCTTACAGCATTATCAGGGTGGAAGACGTAGGAAGCAGGCGAATTGTCCACAATGATAATACGCGTCAGGTCACGGCCCAGGCGGCTGAGGTCCTTGACGTAGTTTCCACGGTGGAAGACGCATGACTCACGGAAGAGGCGGGCACGGAAGGCTCCCCATTTATCCAGCAGGTCAGCAACAGGATCTGCATACTGGGAGTTGGAGGAAAAAGAGAGGGTTTTTTACTGCATTCACCCGGTGCACACTGGGGGTGGGGTGGGGGAGTCTATTGTAGGGATGGGGCATAGTGTTTTTTGGAAAGGCTGGATCATCTTTCTCCCTCCCTGTGTGCAATGTTCCATTTGAGTGTCTCTCATTGCAGCAGGTGTGTTTGCTTCTTCCCAAGAGTCATCTGTTCTTTCCCCAGGTCAGGCAGGAGAATCAGGGTCGAGGCTAGAGAAGGAAGAAGGCTTGCGAGCCAGAACTCTTCCTCCCAGTTTGAGCCAGAACTCTTCCTCCCAGTTTTGACAGAAGAGTGGCTGACAGCAAGGAAAAAGGGACAGAAGCCAGGATTCAGTGGGGGGAGGGGAGAGGAGTGTGCATACTGGGAAACAAGATGGGCTCTCTCGTCATCTCATCTGTCTTGTTTTTTCTTCCCCATTTCCCCAGATGGACATCACTGAGGGAGTGAGGCTGATGATCGCCAAGTAAGGAGGTGGGGTGACGGACAAGGGAAGGACAAGCGGAGTCTCACCTTTGCCAGACTAGCGGTGAAGAGCACACACTCAAAGAGCTCACCCATCCGCCGGAGAAACTCATCCACATGGGGTCTCTTCAGCACATACACCTGGGGAGGGGAAGGGAGAGTATGGGGGTGGGGTCACGGGGCACAGATCTGCTCACTAGCAAGTAGATCCTACCTTCTTGGCCAGCAAAAAGCTTGGCTCCGTGGTACTATGCTGTGACGTCTTCTCTTGAGCACAGTTATGTTGGGTACAATGATTGTACAAATATTTGGGAAGTAGAAAAAAAGTTGCCTGAAGACACTCCAGAATCTCCCTGCCTGGAAGATTTTCCATAAAACTCTAATGAGCACTTGTCTGCTATGGTTGAGCTCTAGGAAATCCTTCCATGGCAAAGCATTGGGTCTAGAGAACTCTTAGCATAACTTCCACCTGAACAATTCCCTGTGCCATTATCTACCCCCCACCCAGAGCAGCACTAGGTAAGGCAAAGAGAGACCTGAGAGGACGTGTGAAAGGACATCCTGGTGAAGGTGATGAGAGTCCAGGAGATTGTAAACTGTCATCTCTCTAGTTCGAAATGTGAGGGATGAGGGTGTTCCTTTGGTCTTGGATAATTAAGACATGTGGCTAAGAACATACAGGGGATGGGTCCTCCAAGGATATCAAGTAACGGTATCCTAAAGGAGTCTGAGGTTTGGCACTTTCAGAGAAGGGTCTACTAGCCAATAAATTATACACTGAAAAATGAATTGAAAATTATTACTCAGGTATTGATATCTGAATACAAAACACATGTGCCTCTTGCCAAGTCTAACAGTAAAATAATCAAGAGCACGATTGTGATCCTTTCGCAGTCTCCAATTCCAAGTATTGTACATATCAGCTGGATTTTATACATGGAAGCCCTTCAGGAGACTTAGTGAGAGGCAAGTGTGTTTAATACTTGGGTATCTGTAATCGAGTGCAAAACAGCCCAGAATTAGGCTCTCTTTATGGAAGGACAACGGAAGGAACTACCAAGTTCTGATTCCAAGGACTCCAGATTAGGAGGGCATTCTGAAGCAAAGTGCATTACAGATGGGGTGTGTGCATGTGTGCATTCAGACCTCCAGGAAATGGAAACAGAGAAACAGCCAAAACCTCCAACTCCAGATTTTGATCAAAATAAATCATGTGCATCAGGTGGCACCTCTATTCATGCCAATGGTGTGACATTTAAGTGTTTCATGGGGTGTTTTCTGTTTCAGATGGCCTAGGAGAGAAAAAGGGATTGTGTATGTATCCAAGGAATATGTGCATACAGGCAAATCAGAAAGGACTGGAGTAACTGACTGTAAAAAAAATAATACAATAAAATGGAAAGCCTGCCAGTTATCCTTAAGATAAACTGCTTGCAATTTGCAAGGCTCTCCTATCCATGAGGAGGAGGACTAGAAACTTGCTCTTTTTGTAAGAAGGAATACAGACATTTTTGCCTACATCAAGACTAAAAAGGTAGATCTGTCCAAAATTCTCAGCATCCTGACTAGCCAGTTGTTCTCCAAAACCACAGTGAGTATTACATAGAGTTTAAGAAAGAGGATACAACATAGATCGTATAATTCTTTGAGGACAAAAGAAACAATCAAGGAGGACTATGGAATTCCAGCAACTGAGACAAGAATGAGGAATATCAGGACGGAATAACTGAAGATTCCCTGCATGCGAGAAGTCCCTTCTGGCCTTAGGGATACAACCACAGGAGGGGCTACTCAGACTAGCACCCTGATTCCACCCAATGCACTGTTGCTGGTTCATGGGCAGAACATCCTTGCAAAGGACCAAAGCAAGAGGATCCTTTCCACACTCCAACATGGCTAAGCCAGTGACAAAACAGATGCAGCCTGCTCTGGGATTTGAACTGCTGTGGCTGAGCTTGGTCACTCAAGTGCTAAGTGCTAAGCTCCTCCTTAAAAGCCGGTGTCTGCACCTGTCATCCACTCTGGTGCTGCTGGCTGCCTCCAAGGCCAAGTAATCGAGAACAGGCTGACTACAGTACCCACAGCCTATCCTGGATTACTTGAACCCGGCAACAGCCTTTAGAAGGAAGGATAATGGATTTCATAATTACAGAACCACCCACAGGCCGTAAACGTTCAAGCCCATCCTCAAATGCCACCTCCACCCCCCTCACGGTCACCTTCCTCATAAGCCCTGCATCCCAGGATACCTTTAAAGCTTCCTTTGGCAATTGGAACACAGCTTAAAAAAAAAAAATCCACCCCCCATCCCAGACACCACTGCCAAGACCACAGGCTGGCCCACGACCCCTTGTCTCCCATTATGCCCCCATACCTGGTGCATGACTCCGTCAATCTCCACTGGGATGATAAAATCTGCATTGTTCACTGGCTGGGAAAGGGGGGGGGACAGAGAGAGTCTGTAAGATGGGCTGCCTCAGTGGCGTTCCCTGTATTTCCCTCCCAGTCTTTCCCCAAACACCATCATGGTTCTCACAGCCACACCTACCCTCTCATCATCTTGGTTAATGTTGTCAACTCCAAACATACACACTGGTCCTATAACATGGCTAATTCATCCCCCCACCATGCCCCTTCTACAGGAAAGGAATCTAATCTCACGCACTTATATTCTGCTTGGGAAAGGAGGGGATAAAACTGGCTAGAGTGAAAAAAATCAGCAAAGGGCCAGAAGGTAGGTTGGGCAGGTAGTGTGAGATGTATGTTGGGGGCAAGGGGCTGACCTTAAAGGAACTATGCACCAATGTCTCATCCAGGTCAATGACCACACAGATTTTGCTGGCATCTTGAGGCTTGATTTCTGGCAGGAGGTATTTGATGGTAGCCTGCAGATAAACACAAACATATAGGAGAAAGAACGCTTACTTCTTATGAAAGAAAGGCTGTGATGGAAACAGTAGATGAGGAACTTCACTGCTAACAACTAACACGGGTGTCAAAATACGGGGGCTCCACTTCTGATCTCAACTAGACATTTGAGACCATTGGCTGTCTTCTGTATAGAGCACAATATGCCTTTTCTTTGAATCTTTGCTGACTGCAGAGTTTTAGACTAGTAGCAGGGCATGCTATAGTTGCCACGGAGACTTTAGTCATGGGTTCTCACAGGGGCCAAATCAGAATAACTGGGTATGGGTAAATATTTTTAATTCCCAGAATTTTCAGCTCTGATTCTGACCTGATGTCACAAGCTCTGCATGAGGTAGGGAGAAACCCTGAAATTAAAGAAATGCGGGAAATGTGGGGTATGGTTTCTTCTTCACAGCACTTGAAGAGGTGAGCTCTGACTCATGAAAGCTCACGGTGGAATAACTGTTGCCAGTCTTTAAAGTGCCACTGCTCTTCTGTTTTATTTTACCAACAAAGAAATAAAACAAAGCTTTGCAGTTACACAACCAGGCACCGGAGGACAGTAGCTGAAAGGCTCAAACCAGTCTAAAAATTCTCTCAGCTTTTGCTGCCAGTAGTTTAGCAGCCCATGGTGATTAAAGACTTGGCCAGCCCCCTACTTAAGCAGCAGTCCTGTCCATTTTTCACCTCTTCTGGGTCTCTGGCTGCACCACGGAATGTACCAGGCGCTGCTTATCAAGTATGTTCTCTTAGTCTGGGGTCAGTGAGTATCATACTAGATGTTCCGAGGAATGACATGAAGATGGAAGAATCCAGGAAAAGTTCAGTTGGCAAAAGGTTCACTTGGCAAAGAAGCCCCAACACCTGAGATCAGTTGCTTTAGCTGAGGATGACACCTGGCCACTGGCCACATATCCTGTTGAAGCAGCACATAAACAAATAAGAAGGCTCTTCCTTTCCCTGCCCCAGTGGTCATATGCCCCCTCTCTCCACTCTCACCCACTGTCCCCAGCAGAATTTCAGGCATTCTGGACTACAGATGGATTCCTATAATCCATCAGACCTCTCTCTCCAAGGAAGACTGGGATCTCAAGGCAACCTTCCAAACAGCATCCTCAACCAGAGTCCTAACCAGAGTCCTCTCTATGGCCATGGAGAAAGCTGGCCTACCTTAGGCACCGAACCATTTTCCTCAACCAGCAGTGGGGCATTGTTGTTGACGGGGATAGGCTCAGAGTTGTCATGGCAAAGGCAGCAGAAGAGGGATTGGAAGATGCTGCGGTTCCTGGGCTTCTTGGAAGGCGATGGGTTCTGGGCACCTGCAGGGGAACAGAGGCAAGTCGAAAATCAGGTTCAATTGCAGAGAAGGTCAAAGGTTACAGTTCCAAGGCTCTGCCCAGGTCATACATCCCACCCACACAAGCATGAGATTAGCACAGTTTCCACCAGATATGCTGATTCAATTCCTTCTTGTCCAATATTCATATCCCTTTGTAAGGCTTAGAAAGTGCCCCTATCTGAACAGGGAAGAGAAAGAGTGCAACAAGCTACCAACTTACAAATGTCTCACCCTATTAACAGGCAACACTAAAAATGAGAGCCAGGAGCCAGTGTGGTGTAGAGGTTGGAGTGCTGGATTACAGTCTGCGAGAACCTGGTCTGAATCCCGGGCAATACCCTAACTTATCTCACAGGGTTGTTGTCATGAGGATAAAATGGAGGAGATGATGATGTTGCAAGCTGCTGTGGGTTCCCACTGGGGAGAAAAGCAAGGTAATAAGTATCATATAGCAGTGTGTGTAGTATAGCCAGGAGATCCTAAGATTGTCTGGCAGCTAGAAGTTCTAGCTCTTTTAGTGATATACACCACTAGGTGGCGAGCTAGACTTGTTTTTAAGGCAAGAGATGTTACAGAGGTGGTTTGCCATTGCCTGCCTCTGCATCACGTTCGTGGTATTCCTTTGAGGTCGCTCATCCAAATACTAGCCAGGGCCAACCCTGCTTAGCTTCCGAGATCTGACGGGATCGGGCTAGCCTGGGCAGAAAAGCAAGTGTAAATATTGAACAAAACAAATATAAGTATTAAAGTTATGGGGACATATCCGTTCTCCACCTGTTGTAGTTGTCAAGCTATACATAAAGCTGTACCTGTAAATGCATAATTTTACTCACAGCAAAGGTTATAATTTCAGTTGTTTCGTGAGGAGTGTACACATGCCATGATAACATGATTGGTTACGATTCCCTCCCACTGATACAGTAGAAAATCTACAATTGTTGCTGCAAGGAAGAAAGAAGAAAGGATGGAGGCATCAACCAGTGTCCTCAGTAGATACTCTGCTCAATCCGTCACTGAGAAAAGGTCACAGCGGTCAGCTAGACAGGTCTGTGTGCCTCCTGGATTAGAAAGGGAAATGGGGGAAGGCATGCAGAACTCTTGATGAAAAGGAGAGCTCTCAGGGCAAATGGGTCTGGCTGAAGTGGATGAAGAAGTGCCAGGCAAACTGGGCCTTGTGGAGGTGATGTGGGGAAGAAGAGTGAGACAGGATGTTAGGTAACCCAGTAGGTCCACTTGGTGCAAGGGAGATGGAGCAGGATAGGCAGACAATGGGTTGAGGAAAAGACAGATTCTACTGTGGGGATGGGGGAGACTTACATCCTTGCTGGCAAAAAACAACAACAACAACACCCACCTCTTTGGGAGTCATATTTTAATAACTGTGACATTTCTGGCCTTCTACACAACATTGTCCCTCAAAAAATCCACCTCCTCCACCTACCTGTACCAGATCTAGCCAGATGAGAGCTATACCACTATCCTCCTTCAGTCTCACCCAGAATCTGGGCACAAGCAGAAATTAAGCCTGCTTAAACCATGTGCCATCTCCACAGTTCTAAATTAATTCCACTTTCCCCATCTAATCCCTTTGCTGTTAGCAGCTCCTACTCTCTAAACCAGCCCTGGATAATGAGATTTCAATTACTCTTGGATGGCCTGATCCTTGAGTCACGAAAGCCAGGGCACTGGGAAGGAGGGGCAACAACCAAGCAGCAGGGAAGCCATCCAGACAAGGGAAGGGTGCAGGACTTTGCAGCTCTTTCACCTCCAGCACTTCCGTCCTGTAGACAAACATCCTTTTGGCAAACTCCAGCTCTGGCGATCTCTTTTAATTTTGATCCACTAGCCTTCCACTATTCCTTGTTCGGGCCCCACTTCTGCACACCTCAGCCAGCAGCAACAGGCCATCCTAGCAACACTCCAGGATGGCGGCTGAATTTTGTCTGACATGGGGAGCACGCAACACCTGCAGAGGAGCCCTCTTAAAAAACAAGGGGGCAGTGCTCTGAGGTGGTAGAATGGACTGCACCTCTTCAGACTGCACAGAGGGGATCCCAGCAGTGAAATGTCCCTTCAAATGGAAAACTCAGTTCAGATAGAAAAACAGCACAGCAAGAAGGAAGTTTCCTTGCCCTTTCTCCTTCCTTGCTGTACTAATTTTTTCTTTATTCATAGGGACCTTTTAAACATAGGGGATTATTACAAAAAGTGATCACCTGCTGTATGGAGTGGTGCAGTCCACTCTGCCCCCTCAGGAGCCAGCCATTGCATTCTCCTTGCAGGTCTGATCTGGGCTTTAGGTCTGAACTAGGTGACATCTGTGACATGAGTTGGGTGGGGACAGGGGACACTATCACCAGAGAACTAATATCCCCAAGCGCTGCATGGCTGCGTTCAGCTTATGGGTGTAGGGGGTGGTGGAGGTTCAAGCCTTCCCTCCAGTGCCATTTTCCAGAGCTGAAACAGACTTGGGGGAACTGCCCTGTTGTGTGATTCCATGTGTAGCAGCATGTGACATCCCACAGTGGGGCACAGTTGTTTCAGCTTGGGGAAACGGCACAGGAGGGAAGGGTAAATCCAGGGCTATTTTTGGGCAGGAACACACAGGAACGGAGTTCCGGCTGGCTCCCAAGTTGGCCACGCCCAGCAGGAACTCATTAGCATAATAGGCCACACCCAACAGCAGGAACTAATTAGGACTGGCTACAGTAGGGGTGTGTGGCCTAACATGCAAAGGAGTCCCTGCTACAAAAAAAGGCCCCGGGTTTTGACAACAAACAAGGTAAACAGAATAAGAAGCAAAAGGTGGGTGTGGCTGGATGACCACACTTCTGGTAACATGTGCTAATGTGCTAATGAGCTGTGCTGTCAGGGGTGTGGCCCAATATGCTAATGACTTCCTCCTGTTGGGTGTGGCCTATTATGCTAATGAGTTCCTGCTGGGCTTTTTCTACAAAATGAGCCCTGAGTAAATCCCTTCCTTCTTCCATACCGCATTTGAAAGCCAAATCTGGCCCCACAGCACTTGGAATCTTTAGTTTCTTGATGTTATTTATGTGTGGCAGGAGTCAGCTGTTTGTTTCCTACCAGGACTAAAAGCTGTCCAGGAGAGGCCAGTTTGGGTCAAGGAAAAAGCACAGGGAAAAGAGATTTAAAAACCCACCGCACCACAGCCCTGCTCTATATTCCTCCATCATAAGCCTATGGCTGCTTTTTGAGGTAAAGGCCGTATTTGGACATCAAGTCAAGTTTCTGTTTATTCACAGTGGGCATAAACATGGCTTGTCTGTTGTGTTGGTGCTCTGCCTCCCTCTTCCCCCTCATGTGCAACTGAATGTTTCTTGGTTTTGGAAGCCTCCAGTCAAATTCCTGTTTGCCATGACACCCAGATGCAGGTTCCTGGGCTGGTGGCTCAGCACCCCAGTTCAAACAGAACGGCGTTAGGTCAGAGGCTTCCAAAAGCAGGAAGCCACACATACCAGAGGAAGGAAGTACACAACATGGTAGAAGAAGAGCATGGCAAACAGGTTTGTTGTGACATTTGAATGCAGTTTAAGTTACACATCAGGGTAAGTTGCACTTCCTTATGTTGGATGTAGCTTGGCTCTAAGTCGTAGAGCAGTAAATAATCAAATGGCATGTGCATTATCCTCAAGATGGAAGTCAGATCTCCTCTTCTCTGCCACCATGCAGTGAAGTGCCATCTAAACAACTCATATGGGCAAGGAAACTGCATATTTCAGTTCTAAGAAACTTCATATATTCTACTGTCCCTGTGAATTTCGTTTAAAAAACTGTCTTGTGAGCTAGTGTATTGCTTTCATTCCACATATGGCTTCCAATGTGCACATGAATACACATGCGCGCACACATATAAATGTGATAAATGCATGCTGCATCATGAACTAGAAATGGTGAAATAGAATACTGAGCCAAAACTTCCATTTAGCTGTCTGCAAAGATGTTATGTCCATGGTACATCCAGCCTGCACTTCCTTTCTGAGCAGCAACAGAAATTCAGAGGTGCGAAAGGAATGACCTAATCATCCACACATGGAAGAGAAATACAGAAAAATGTGCAGAACAGCCAATGTAATGGTCTTTCCTTCAGTGCTTCCCTTCTGCAGAGAAATTCTCCCTCCCTTCCACGGCCATTCCTGTTAGGCCTACCTTCAGTGCTTATGTTAACAGTGGTTAAGGGTAACTATTCTTGTCCCTGAGTAGTTTCCTATGAAAATGTATCTGCAGTCTCAAGAATGGTTTGCTTATGTACACCCAGTTACCATTGTGATACTGTGTTAAGTACACTATGTTCTTTGATTTGCAGGTATAAATTGTCAATGTGCAGAGGAGGTATTGTCTGGGAAATCTTCCCCTTCATGTTTAGCCCTGATTACCTCATGAAAAAAAAAAAGTTTCATGGACTTTCTACTGACAAGTAGAACTCAAAGAAATCTACACAACCTTATCAATTCTATGTAACAATCTAATAAACAAAAAGCAAATGAAAAGATGTGAGGTCTACAAATCAGAGACCTGATTAAAGCAGCTTCAGCTGATCATCTAAGTAGAATATAAAGAAGTAATATTGCCCAATATAAATGCAAGACAAGAAGCTGCCACGGCCTTATACCGAATCAGACCCTTGGTCCACTGAGGTCAGAACTCCACACTCAGACTGACAGCAGCTCTCCGGGGTCACAGGCAGAGGTCTTTCATATCACCTACTACCTCATCTTTTAAACTGAAGATGCTGGGGATTGAACCTGGGACCTTCCGCATGTCAAGCAGACACTCTTCCACTGAACCACAGCCCCAAAAGCAAAAAGCACCCCTACATGCTCATCTCATAAAGATGGCAACACCCTCAAGGTACAGAAATGCACCTTGGATATGAGTGTTATCTACAGGAGTTACCTTTCTCTACTGCTGCACACACACAAACACACACACACACAACCAGCTCTTTGTATTACACAT